CTTATGGAGCTAAGACTGAATGCATTTCAGCATAGATGGCTGTCAACTGTCCTCTGCCTGCTGCCGATAAACTCCAGACACGGAAGGAACAAGTGACCAGCAAACATTAATGCAAAGAAAAAGTCAGCACTGGGACGCCGGACGCTGACCCGACTCCCAGCTGAATGTCCGGAGTTGGGCGGTGCTCATGGCCCCCATGCGAATGTCGGCCAGCTGCTGGCTGCGTCCTCCCCGTCTCCCGCCGGCTAATGGCAAGCCCAGGGGCTTAACAATGGCCACCACAAAATTGTACATTGGCTCCCAGCCGGCCTGGGTCAGGGCCAAGGCAGAGGGGGCCGTTCCCTCACTGTTTCCAGGATGGCTTCGCGGGCCACATGAAACCACTTTGCGGGCCGCATCCGGCCCCCGGGTCTTGTGTTTGACATGTCTGCCATAGGCGAAGGTGCAAACTCCCTCGGGATTCACCTCCCTCCTGTGGAATTATCTGGACGGGGAAACAGCACTCTGGGACTGAAAGGGGAGAGAAACCAAAGCCTCTTCTACTGTTACGACTTATATTTGAGGTGGGCAAGGAAATCGGGCCGTCCCCCTGAGGGCGTCCTCCCAGGACGGAGCCTCTCACCTGCTGTCTCTGCTCCTCCGCCTGGCTCAACAAGAAGCCTTCGGCCAGGGCCACCGCCTGGGAGCAGCTCTCCGCTCCACACTCCCTCAGCCAGCCCGCCATCTCCGGGGGCAGCACGGCCAGGAACTGCTCCAGGATCACCAGGTCCACCACTTGAGCTTTGCTGCTCCTCTCGGGCTTCAGCCATCGATAGCAAAGCTGCTGCAGGCGGGTGCAGACTACTCGGGGCCCCACCGACTCCTGGTAGCCGAAGCAGCGGAAGCGCTCGGCCTCTGAGCCCGCTGGCGGCTCCTCGGGAGGGAGGCTCTCCTGCCTGGCTCCGGCCTTGGCCTCCCTGCTCTCCTCGGGCTCAGCGGCAGGAGGGTTTGGGGCTGCTCTCCACCCACTGACTCCCAACCTTGGCAAGTCCATCTTCTGGGCCAAGTAAGCCGAGTGTCAACGCTGCAAATACTGTATATTCTTGCTTTGACAATATGCAGAACTGTCTGGTATTTTTGGGGTTAATGCAGAGCAGAAGAGGGTGGAGGGAAAAGCCCGGGAAAGAAAGAGGAAGAAAACCTTTGACCTTCACACTAATTGGATAATGTGATATATGACAGCTAATTTAGGGAGGGAACATGTTGATAATTTAACTGCTCAGAGGAAGAGAACTTAGATCTTAGCATAACCTTCCGTTATGCCTGTGCCGACATTTTGTAACAATAAATTACTTTTAGGAAAATCAATGCCTGGAAGTTCTTTGAAGTGTTTCATTAGCCGGAACCATAACACCGAGCTTCCCCACGGCACCTATTCAGTTCCTCTCCTTCTCGGCCACATCTGGCGAGGATCTTCTCGATGCTGACTGCTTCCCTGTGGACAAGCAGATACCCAGCATGCAAACAAAGCGGCTTTCCAGGTCTCTTTCCAAGACCCACCGAAGAAGAGTCCAAAGGAAAGGTGAAGCAATTCCCACCAGAAGGAGAAAAGCCTCTGAGAGGCTCTCCTTGATCAATTCACTTAAATATGAGCCAGCTGTGTGCTGCAGCTGCCAAAAAAGCCAACACAGTGCTAGGCTGCATTAACAGAGGGATAGAATCAAGATCACGTGAAGTATTAATATCACTTTACAGTGCCTTGGTAAGGCCACACTTGGAATACTGCATCCAGTTTTGGTCACCACGATGTAAAAAAGATGCTGAGACTCCAGAAAGATTACAGAGAAGAGCAACAAAGATGATTAGGGGACTGGAGACTAAAACATATAAGGAACGGTTGCTGGAATTGGGTATGTCTAGTTTAACGAAGAGAAGGACGAGGGGGGGACATGATAGCAGTGTTCCAATATCTCAGGGGTTGCCCCAAAGAAGATGGAGTCAAGCTATTCTCCAAAGCACCTGAAGGCAGGACAAGAAGCAACGGATTGAAACTAATCAAGGAGAGAAGCAACCTAAAACTAAGGAGAAACTTCCTGACAGAACAATTAACCAGTGGAACAACCTGCCTCCAGAAGCGGTGAATGCTCCAACACTGGAAGTTTTTAAGAAGAGACTGGACAGCCATTTGTCTAAAACGGTACAGGGTTTCCTGCCTGAGCAGGGGGTTGGACTAGATGACCTCCAAGGTCCCTTCCAACTCTATTATGATGATGACAATGATGCTTGGAAAGCAAACCACTGCAAAGATGTTTTCTTTCAAGAGCAGGCAACAGAATTTCATTTTTAATGTGGGCCAGTGTGCTCATAGTAAAAAAAAAAAAAAGTGATAATAAAGATTATCTTATCTCACTGTTCTCACGGTTGTGGCTTTTCCTGCTCTTTCCCCCCAAGTCTTTCCCACGTAGCCTTGCACAAACCCCTGGCCAGCCACAAAAACTCCCAGGTCCCAGCACAGAAGGACCCCCTTCCTACCATCACCGACGTGGCAAAAGAGAGGCTAGCCGAGGCTCCCTCTTCACCTCCCGCTTACGGAGCGTCCTGGATCCCGACAGGCGGCAGTGAGATCCAGAGTAGATCCCTAGACTGGAGATGAATCCATCAGGTTCCGCCCTCCCTCCCTGCCTGCCCAGGTCTCCCCTCCTTCCCCTCCCCCCTATTTTAGGCATAACCAAACTCACCACTTTTTCCCCAGCTTTCCCGGGAAAGGAGGGGAAAAAAATGCGCCTCGCTTGCTTTCTGTCTTGGTCTGGGAAAGCGCAGCTGCCACTCACTCCCGTTGCTAGGTTCCCGCCGCGATGCCCCGCCTCCTCCGCGGGGTTTGGACTGCGGGAGGGAGGAAAGGTGTTTTTCTCCTAGAGAGGCAACGCTCCGGCCGCTTCTTCTCCCTTCCTGCTCCCCCTTTAAATAGTTTGCGGCGGGAGGCAGCTACGGTACTCGCGCATGCTCCGTCCATCAATCAGAACAGAGCTGGAAGGGGACTTGGGGGTCTTTTAGTGAAATCTCCGCTCAAGCAGGAGATTCTATACGCGGGGGGGTCCTGGGGGATCGTTCCAGAGCAGGGAGCGGTTTTTTTTCCTTAATAATAATAATAGTAAAATTGGAAGAAACCTTGGAGGTCATCGAGTCCAACCCCTTGCTCAGGCAGGAAACCCTACACCAGAGGTTCTCAACCTTTTTAATGCCGTGACCCCAACCGGTCGTAAGTCGAGGACTAAACCGGTCGTAAGTCGAGGACTACCCAACCGGTCGTAAGTTCAGGACTTTCCCTGCCTGGGAGCGCTGCGCATGCGTGGTTCCGCCCCCTGCGCCAGCCGAGGCGTAGCTGGCAAGCGGCAGAGATGGAGCAGGCCGACCACCAGCTGGCCCAGCCCAAGGGAGGTAAGGCATCCGCCGGAAAAGGGGGGAAAAATGGCGGACAAAAAAATGGCGGACAAAAAAAATGGCGGACAGCCTTGCTTGGCGACCCCCATGAAATGGTCGATCGACCCCAAATGGGGTCCCGACTCACAGGTTGAGAACCACTGCCCTACACCATTTCGGACAAATGGCTGTCCAGTCTCTTCTTAAAAACTTCCAGTATTGGAGCACTCACCGCTTCTGGAGGCAGATAGTTCCACTGGTTAATTGTTCTCACTGTCAGGAAGTTTCTCCTTAGTTCTAGGTTGCTTCTCTCCTTGATTAGTTTCCATCCGTTGCTTCTTGTCCTGCCTTCAGGTACTTTGGAGAATAGCTTGACTCCCTCTTCTTTGCGGCAGTCCCTGGGATATTGGAACACTGCTATCATGTCCCCCCTCGTCCTTCTCTTCATTAAACTAGACTAGGGGTAGGCAACCTCGGCTCTTTTATGACTCATGGACTTCTGACTCAGCAATTCTGGGAGCTGAAGTCCATGAGTCATAAAAGAGCCGAGGTTGCCTACCCCTGAACTAGACATACCCAATTCCAGCAACCGTTCCTTATATGTTTTAGCCTCCAGTCCCCTGATCATCTTTGTTGCTCTTCTCTGTACTCTTTCTAGAGTCTCAACATCTTTTTTACATCGTGGTGACCAAAACTGGATGCAGTATTCCAAGTGTGGCCTTACCAAGGCATTGTAAAGTGATATTAACACTTCACTTGTTCTTCACTTCACTTCTTCTTTTTTCTTTTTCTCCTCCGCCTCCTTCCTTTCTTCTCTCTCCTTCTCCTACCCTCTCCTTTCTCCCTCCTTTCTTCTCCTCTTTCCTCCTCCCTTCTCTTTCTTCCTTCTCCCTTCTTCACCTCCTCTTCTCTCAAGTGTGCAAAGCGCCATTTACGGCTCATTTAAGCAAGGAGCTACTGTCTCAAGTGTTTACTTTCACTAATAGATAATGAGAAGCTGAAAAGCTATTGCTAAGCTATTTTATTTAACAACTTATTTAATCTTTATTAATTGACTAGTGGAACAGCTTGCCTTCATAAGTAGGAGCTTCATCACTGGAGGTTTTTATGAAGAGATTGGACACCCATTTGTCTGAAATAGTATAGGGTTTTCTGTCTGAGCAGGGGGTTGGACTAGAAGACCTCCAAGGTCCCTTCCAACTCTGTTTATTCTATTCTATTCTATTCCAGTTTTACCTCTTGCTTGGATTAAATACGCACAATTCTCTAGGTGAACATATAACATGCTCCATGTTGTCTTAAATGCATTGGACAGTCCAAGCATACGGTTCTGCATCCAAAACCCCTCACATCATGTGACTATGTATAGATTAATCAGCAGCAGCAGCCTTTTCTCCGGTGTTTAGTAGAACAAGATTTTACTTTCTTCGATTACTTTCTACATTAAAGACTTAAGTTTTATTAAACCAAGTCAGGAATACACAAAGCTTCAAATGCCCACATCAGCATGAAAGTCAGAAATAGGTGGTGAAAGTCATCTATGACACAAATCTTTATTACATCCCGGCACATGCTTGCTTTATTTATTTAAATTTATGTAGCCACCCATCTCACTGGTGTGAGTCTGAGCAGCTTACAAGTATAAAGCAGCAAAAAACATATATAAATAAAAACAATTCAAGCAATAAATTGCAAACATAAAAGCACAGAATGATGTCAACCACACTTCACAACGCATTCACCATGCAGGCTCTTCATACCCATATCCTCAGAGACTTCTTAAAGGCCAACAAGGTTGGGGCCAATGTGACATGGAGGGTGCAATAGCAATAACACTTAGACTTATGTACCACTTCACAGTGCTTTACAGCCCTCTCTAAGTAGTTTACAGAGTCAGCCTCTTGCCCCCAACAATCTAGGTTCTCATTTTACTGACCTTGGAAGGATGGAAGGCTGAATCAACCTTGATCCGGTCAGGATCGAACTGTCAAACTGCTGGCAGTCAGCAGAGTTAGCCTGCAATACCACATTCTAACCACTGTGCCATCACGGCAATGATATTCTATGCATTGCCTTGAATATTATCTCTGACAATTCAAGGTGTGGACTTTAGATTGCAGTTGCACGTAGTCCTTGATTTATGACCACAATTGGGAATGGAACCTGTGTGCTAAGTGAAGCAGTCCTTAAGTCTCACCCACTTTTATAACATTTTTGCAATGGTTATTAAGCAAGTCCAGCTTCCCCCATTGACTTTGCTTGTTGGAAGTCCCCTGGGAAGGCTGTACATGGCAATCGTGTGACCGAAGGTTGTTCCAACTGTATACAGACACGTCAGTTGCCAAGCACCTGCATTTTGATCACATGACCATGGACTTAAGTGCAAGAACAGTCATTTGTAAATCTTTTTTTTTTTCAGTGCTGTTCATCATTCAGTGAATGATTGTTAAGTCGAGGACTGCCTGGTTTCCTATTTCGACCTTAATCATTATTTTTCCGTTCAAAGTGCAGAAGGCAGACCGTATTTAAATTTTGGTCTTGGAAACAATTTACGGACTTTAAAACTTATAAAGAGTATGCCAAGCAGTTAACGATATTACACAGAGTCTTGGTTTAATCCAGGGGTAGGCAACCTTGGCTCTTTTATGACTCGTGGACTTCAACTCCCAGAATTCCTGAGCCAGCCATGCTGAGAAAGGGAGAGGTTTCCATGCTGAGCCATGCTGGCTCAGGAATTCTGGGAGTTGAAGTCCACGAGTCATAAAAGAACCCAAGTTGCCTATCCCTGGTTTAATCTAATGCCAAAGACATCTGCCATCGTCAGTTCAGACTATTGATCTGTGCTAATACTCTGCACAGGAGGGAGATGGAGAAAGTGTAGATAACACAAAGTTGACTTTGGAGAAGCTATGCAGAACTGTTGACAAACATCAGCTCAGCCTTGGAAAACAAGACACCGTGAGGAAGAAACTCAAGACGGGCCCATCTGGACTATTTTTGGTATAAAAGAGAAGGGAAGGGAAGGGGAAACTGCCAAGCTTTCAAAATTCTGTTATTATAACCTTTGCTCAGTAAATTTTTGTGGTATGTATTTCCTGACCTGGCTTACCTCAAGCAAAAGGTAGAGGGCGTCACAAAAGGGCATGGGGGATGCCAGAGAGAAAATGAGTTGGGACTCATTTTGGCATGAACAACTCAAGATTTGTGCCTCTCCTAGCTAGCCCATTTCTCATTAAATCGAATAAAATTGGCTTGTTTTCTCTACTGAAATAGAAATACTAAATTTTCTGAGGTACTCATCAGACCAAAATTCATTTAGTCTCCCTTTATTTGTGAAATTGTTCAGGGGAATCCTTGGTTTAGGGCAGGGGTAGGCAACCTTGGCTCTTTTATGACTCGTGGACTTCAACTCCCAGAATTCCTGAGCCAGCATGGAAACCTCTCCATTTCTCCTCAGCATGGCTGGCTCAGGAATTCTGGGAGTTGAAGTCCACGAGTCATAAAAGAGCCAAGGTTGCCTATCCCTAGTTTAGGTAGAACAGGAAAGAACCGATCAGTGTAACCTGAGCTAAGATAAGAAAGGGAAGTAATAATCAGTCTTTTCCATCTTTGGCCATGTTGGTTGGGAATTATGTCCAATCCACCTAAGTTGAAAAATCTGACCTAAGATTATCATGCTCAGAGAATCTTGGCATGAATGGAAGCAACCTGGATGGCCTTTGCAGATGTCCATATTACCCTGTGTTTCTATGGATTGTCGAAAAAGGAGGCAGGAGCTGGAGAAGCTTTTGAGGGTGGTATCTACCTGGCTTTGCTTAAACAGGTCAGACCAGATTTTGAATGGGAGATCACCAGCGTATAATCCACTGAACAAACAATATGGACTTGTTTATGAAGTCATCAGATGTTGTGATGTCTCCATAGCTACAATGATCAAAATAGTGTAACTAATAGTATTCCCTGTAATACTTTGTTGACAGCAAAAGTTCAACTTTGGAAAAGCAAGAAAGAGTACTTTGAACTTTGGTGCTGAAGAAGACTCTGAAAATTCACCATAGACAGCCAAGAAAAAGAAAACAATGGATCGTTGAACAAATCAATCCAGAGTTCTCACTCAAGACACAACAACCAGGCTCAAATTATCCTACTTTGGACCCCTTGTGCAAAGTTCTAGCTCTTTGGAGAAGGCTTTGGTGCTGGGAAAAGTGAAAGGAAAACGAAAAAGAGGATGATCAGCACCAAGAGAGATAGACTGGTTATTTGCATTCTTTTAGAGCAGAGATCAACCCTGACTGCTCTTTAGAAGGCCAGATCCTGAAGTTGAAACTCAAATACTTTGTCCACCTAATGAGAAGGAAGGACTTACTAGAGAAGAGCCTAATGCTGGAAAAGATTGAGGGCAACAGAAGAAGGGGACGACAGAGAATGAGGTGGCTGGATGGAGTCACTGAAGCAGTAGGCGTGAGCTTAAATGAACTCCAGAAGATGGTAGAGGGCAGGAAGGCCTGGAGGAACGTTGTCCATGGGGTCGCGATGGGTCGGACCTGACTTCTCAGTTAACAACAACAAGAGCAGAGGTCCCCAACCTCTTGGGCAACAGGGACTGGTGCCGTGGAAAAAGGTGATGTGGTGTTATGTACTGTCTACATCCCATGGATGGGGCTTTGCTTGTTTCTGCGGCCCAGTTGTTGGCATGGTACGAACTGGTGCCGATCCATGGACTGGGGGTTGGGGACCCCATTTTAGAGAGGCGTTGAGGCCACTTGGAGGTTTATCTGTGTCCCCAAATTTACCTGAGTGTGCAAATGGGTTGAGGACACAGATAAACTCCAAGTGGCCTCAATGACTCTAAAAGAATGCAAATGACTAGCTGTCTGCAAGGAGTATAAATCCTTCCATTCCCTACCATCCAGTCAGAGCTGAAGAAGCTTCTTGGATGAGAAGCAAAACATCTTCAAAGAAAAACAAGTAAATCCAGTTGCCTCCTGAAAATGCATCTTTGGGACAACCATGACCTAGATGACTGAGAATCTCTACAGACGACCAGAATGGCTGTCTCTTTCTTACTTGTGCTCCCATGACAATAGTTTCCCCTTTTCCGTATTTGTTGTCATTATGACAGATGTTCTCATGACTTCTCCATTGGAGCAACCCCAACCCCCAAAGCTATGTTTAAGCCATACCTATCTGGGATTTAGCTTATGAGCATTCCTCACAACACTTAAGCATGCAATATACATCATCTCTTACGCAGAAAAAGTTCAGGTTATATTGAATGTAGTGGTCCTTTTGTTTTGACAAATGAACATTTCCCCCCCACTGTATTAAACTTTAGGACATGAACAGCAACTAGGCCCTTGAGTATTGCCCTATACATTCCCAAATGAATTTTAAAAATAGGAAAATAAACAGAAATGCCGAGGAGGAACTTCCGTACAAAGAGAAACAGTGCATAAAAGTGTTGAGTCACACATGTTCGCTTAATCAACTTTAAGATGTTTGGAGTCCAGCTCCCAGAATTCCCCAGACAACATAGCTTGGCTAATTCCGGGAACTGGAATCCAGACATCTTAAAGTTGCTAAGATTGAGAAATACTAACCTCAAGCAGAGGTCCTCAACCTTTTGGGCACCAGAGACCAGTTCCGCGGAGAGAGGTTTTTCCGCGGACCAGGGGGTGCGTGGTTTTTGTGTTGCCTGCATCTCGCGGATGGGGCTTTGCTTGTTTGTGCAGCCCATTGCTGGCATGCTACGGCCTGGTACTGGTCCACGGACTGGGGTTTGGGGACCCCTGACCTAGAGAATCTTAGCTGAAGTGACCAAGAAACATTTTTAAACCATAAAGAGTTAAATTAGTGAGTTTCTTCAATGTAACTAACTCTTCAGGAAGCCAAGAGCACCTAGACCAGGGGTAGGCAACCTTGGCTCTTTTATGACTTGTGGACTTCAACTCCCAGAATTCCTGAGCCAGCCACGCTGAGGGGAAAGGAAGAGGTTTCCAAGCTGAGCCAGGCTGGCTCAGGAATTCTGGGAGTTGAAGTCCACGAGTCATAAAAGAGCCAAGGTTGCCTATCCCTGACCTAGACAACAGATTTATGATAGTTTTAGTTTCCTAGAAATATATTGCTACCCTGCCTTCTTTTGTGCACTTCTGCTTCACATTGCCTCTTGGAATTTCCTGATGAGAACTGATACAGGGCTGAGACAAAAACTCATATTCCATGAAAAATATAGTTCCTTGCTCTGCAAATTTTTAGTAAATAATTGCTGGATTTAGGACATAGCCACCTTTGTCCCATTCTGATCACAGCAAGAATGAGGGTGAAGATTTGTTCTTCGAGCTTGTGGGTTGGTTTCTGAACGTTTCGTTACCAGGCTAGGTAACATCCTCAGCGGTGTTTAGGGGACGTCTGTGTCAGTGTTCTACTGTTTATAAGGGCTTCAGGTGTGGGAGTGTCGAGTGAGGGTCTTGTGATGGATCTTGTGATGGGTCAGGACTTGTGATGGGTCACACAAGCCCCCCCACCTCCGAATGATCCTAACCTGATGTAATCTCATCACAAGACCCATCATAAGCCTCTCACTGATGACTCACACCTGACCCATCACAAAACCCATCACAAGACCCTCATTTGACATTGACATCCCCTAAATGCCGCTGAATGCCACCACGGCATATAAATACCGGAGATTGAAGGTTCATTCTCCAAGCTTGTGGGTTGGTTTCTGAACATTTCATTACCAGGCTAGGTAAGATCTTTAGGGGATGTTGGTGTCAGTGTTTTTCTGCTTATAAGGGCTTCAGGTGTGGGTGTGTCAAGTGAGGGTCTTGTGAACACTGGAGAACACTGGCATCCTCTAAAGTCCACTGAAGAAGATTGTCAAGGTCATTATGATTTAGTAGCTGATCGGCAGAAGTGATATATATAGAGAATGAGTCAGCAGATTATTCTGGGGGTAGTATCCCTTTAAGAGACTGTCTGAGGGAAATGGCAGTTTAGCTCACTTCAACCGTTTGAATATAACTGACTATCTTGTATTCTGTATGCTCCCTGAATGTTGTTGTTTCATATTGTATATTAAACCACAGTTCTTTTAACAAACCACTGTCAGATGTTTATGCTCCTGTGTTATCACAAGAACAAAATTAGAAAAAGGCTGCAATAATTTATATTTTTAAACAACAAAGATGTTACCTAGCCTGGTAACGAAACGTTCGGAAACCAACCCACAAGCTCGGAGAACGAACCTTCACCCTCATCCTACAGATACTCGCCACTATGGTAAACGGCTAAGAATGTTCTCCTCTTCAAAATTCTTTTGCCTCAAACCGTTTCTGATCCATTTTCCACCCTCCAAATATTCAGCGGTTTCTCCCCCGCGTGAGTCCTCTGGTGTCGAATAAGCAGCGTACTAGAAAAAAAGTGCTTCCCGCACTCCAGACATCTGAATGGTTTCTCCCCAGCGTGACGCCTCTGGTGCTTATTAAGAAGCGAGCTCTCGCTAAAGCCTTTGCCACACTCTGGGCACTTAAAAGGTTTCTCCCCTGTGTGGGTCCGTTCGTGTCTAATCAGGAGGGTGCTCCAAGTGAAGCTCTTTCCACACTCCGTGCACGTGAAAGGCTTGTCTCCAGTGTGGGTTCTGACGTGAGAAATAAGGATGGAGTTGTGACTAAAACTTTTGCCACACTCCTGGCATTTGAAAGGTTTCTCCCCGGTGTGAATCCTTTTGTGGGAGGTGAGGTGGATGTGCTGACGGAAGCTCCTTCCACACTCCGGGCATTTAAATGGCTTCTCGCCCGTGTGGATTCTTCGGTGGGAGGTGAGGTGGATGTGCTGACGGAACCTCTTTCCGCACTCCAGGCACTTAAAGGGTTTCTGTCCCGTATGCATGCCTTGATGTGCCGTGAGGATCCCGCTCTGGCTAAAGCATTTCCCACACTCCTGGCATTTAAAGGGCTTCTCGCCAGTGTGAATCCGCCGATGCGCCGTAAGGCTTCTGCTCTGACTGAAGCATTTCCCGCACTCTGGGCATTTGTAGGGTTTCTCCCCTGTGTGGCTTATCTGATGCCTAAGAAGGTTTGTGCTGTCAATGAAGCTCTTGTGACACTCCATGCATTTGTAGGGCTTCTCCCCGGTGTGGATTCTTTTATGTCGAATAAGTTCGGAACTGCGGCTAAAACTCTTCTCGCATTCCGGACATTTAAATGGCTTCTCCCCTGTGTGAGTTCTTTCGTGTCGAACCAGTTCGGAGCTGTGGCTGAAGTTCTTTTCGCACAAGAGGCATTTAAACGGTTTCTCTCCCGTGTGGGTCCTTTCGTGACGAATCAGGTGCGAACTCTGGCTGAAGCTCTTCCCGCACTCTCGGCACTGAAACGGCTTCTCTCCCGTGTGGGTTCTTTTGTGAGAAGTCAGATGTATGTGCTGGCGGAAACTCTTCCCGCACTCCAGGCACTGGAACGGTTTCTCTCCCGTGTGAATTCTCTCGTGAGAGGTGAGGTGTATCAGCTGGCGAAACCTCTTCCCGCACTCCAGGCACGGGAAGGGCTTCTGCCCGGTGTGCATCGCTTGGTGTGCCGTGAGAATGCCACTTTGACTGAAACATTTCCCACACTCTAAACATTTATAGGGTTTCTCTCCGGTGTGGCTTCTCTGATGGGAAGCGAGAACACCGCTGTTACCGAAACGCTTTCCACACTCCATACATTTGTAAGGTTTCTCTCCCGTGTGGCTCCTTTGATGGGAAGTAAGGTTTCTGTTTTGACTGAAGCTCTTTCCACACTCGGGGCATTCATAGGGTTTCTCTCCAGTGTGAACTCTTTTATGCCTAATCAGTTCGGAGCTCCTACTAAATCTCTTCCCACATTCGAGACATTTAAACGGCTTCTCTCCTGGGTGGGTTTTCCAGTGCATGTTCGTATCTGATGTTTCCTCCCAACTTTCCACACAGGAAGAAGGCTCGTGGTTTTTATCTTCTTTTGGAATCTTCGGATGGACTGAAATTTCATGAAAGCCAATGTCCAAATTAGCAAAAGATCCCTTCCTTCCACCAATTAGGTTTCTTTTTTCCTTCATTCCCCCTGAATTTCCAAAATTTTCTTCTACGTCTTGGCACACGTAACTGTCCTCCAATGCAGGTTGTGATACCCCTCTATCGTTTCTTCTGATCCACACCTGCCCTTCTGAAATTAAGAGAAATGATGGAAATCAAAGTCCAGTTGAGGAATGAGCACAATCAGTTACTTAACCCAGATAACTCACTCTATATGCTGCCTGGAAAAAAGATTTAAAAGAACAACATCCTATCCAATTAATTAATATAGACATGTGTTAGCATTTGCTCAGCAAAAACTCCATCTCAGCTTCTGGCCTGATTAGTTTTTTTGAAAGCATATTCTCTCAAACAATTTCTCTACAAACAACCCAGTTGTTCTACCGATGCCCTGGTTCCTGGACATGAAATTGGCTCAACCACTTGAAGGGTATGGGGAGAGCTGCACAAGAAAATTTGAGAGTGTAAAAACAAGATGTAACAGCCAATTTGGCCTAGTGGTTAAGGCACAAGGCTCGAATGTGGGAGAATGTGAGTTCATGTCCTGCCTTAGCCATGAAAGCCACCTGGATGACTTTGGGACAGTCACCCTCTCTCAAGCCAACCCACCTCACGAATTGTTGTTGTGGGGAAAATAGGAGGCAGTTTGCTGCCTTGAGTTATTAGTAAAGAGGCAGGATACAAATAAGTAAAAAGATAGATAGATAGATAGATAGATAGATAGATAGATAGATAGATAGATAGATAGATAGATAGATAGATAGATAGATAGATACCGTATATACTCGAGTATAAGCCGAGTTTTTCAGCACATTTTTGTGCTGAAAAATGCCACCCTCGGCTTATACTCGAGTCAGCGTCTCGAGAACTGAGGAAAGTGAGTACACGTGTCCCGCTAGTACTTCGGGGGCCTGGCCTCTTGCGGGGCTGCGTGCTGCACGCACCCCCTGGATTTACTCAAGGTGCATCCGGGGAGGGAGGGAAGTCTCCTGCTTGGCCGCTTGCTTGACTTGCAGCCGATTTCCGGGGAATGCCTCTTTACAGCAGGCTGCCTTTGGGAAGCGCTGCCTCCTTCCATTCATCTCTTTGCTGCTGGAGAAATTTGCAATTGTCCGTGCGAGAGGCAGACGACAAGGAGAGCGGATTGGCACCCGTGGCTGTGGTGCGATGCTGGGGCTCCCTCTTCTTGACTAAACAAGCTCTCTTCCAGAAAGACCTTGCCCAGGAGCCTTAGCGAGGAACTTGAAAGTGCCTTCAAGTTGTCGCAATGCTGAGGTCAAGCACTAAGGCAAAGAAATGTGTTCCTCGCCTCTTTAACATTTGCGTAGCTTTTCTACTTCCCACAATGCCCTAGAGGTGGTGAAATTGGGCAATGCTTTCTTGCTTCAACTGCCTGTATCTATCTTCATTTTTTACATTTACCAGTAGCTGCCTCATTTCCCACCCTAGGCTTATACTCGAGTCAATATTTTTTCCCAGTTCTTTGTGGTAAAATTAGGTGCCTCGGCTTATATTCGGGTCGGCTTATACTCGAGTATATACGGGTAGATAGGTAGGTAGGTAGGTAGGTGGTTGGTGGGTGGGTGAATAGATGGATGGATGGATGGATGGATAGATAGATAATAGAACATAGGTAAATAGGTAGGTAGATGGGTAGATAGATAGATAGACAGACAGACAATCTCCCACTTCAATCAAGGTGGTAACACAGTGTATATCCACTGTAAAAAAAAAAAAGCAAACATTTTCTCCTTTCCAAAGTACTAGAACTGGAGGTCACCCAATGAAACTGAACCTTCAGAGAATCATAACAGATTCTGTTATACAAATTCAATATAAATTCAATAAATAATAAATAAGACAACCGGAAATATTTTTTTTAACACAACACATAATTCAACTTTGAATTCAACAATTCAAATTTGCTACCACGAAATGTGCTGTGGTGCTGCCTATCCAGTTGGCTGGCTTCAAACAAGAGGTGAGCCAATTTGTGGAAGCCATGGGAATCCATGACTATTAGTTGTGATGATATTGTGACTACTTCTGTAGGCCATATGCTGGGAGACCAATGGGCTTCCTTGTGCAATTGGTTGTAAGTGTGAGAATAGATTGCCAGACTAGATAAGCTAAAAGTCTGATCCAGCATGTTCTTATTATATTATGATTTTTTTTTCTTGTCCCTCTGACATTGCTATCCTTTTTTTCCCCTCCTGCTTTTTCCTCTCCCACTCAGAATGCTTACGTTCCTCAGCCACATTCTGGAAGGGCATACTGTTGTAGGTCCTCTCAGCTGAAGCTACGTGACTTTCCTGTGATACAAGGCCATCTTTTTGGAATTTGTCCACTGCAGAAGCTTCCATGTTCCTGTAATTTTTGGAAACATAAAAAGAAAGTGAATTGGGCATCTGGAATGAAGAGATCACTCACTAAGCAATATGTCTGTCAAGACTGAAAAGAAATCAAAAGTATCTGCAAATAAGGTGTATGGAGAGAATAATAATAAAAAAATCAGGCTTGTCCTTAGAAAAGCTACAGTTATTTAATCAAGATGGATCAAGTTGGCAAGCATTTATCCATACAGTCCTAAGGAATTAAGATGGATGTGATGACACCTTTCTCATTAAAAACCGGTTGAGTTTGACTCCCAGTGATTTAACAGACACTTCGATAGATCTTGAATGCATATATATACCTGGAAAGTGGGTAGATATTGAATAAATCCACATGCAGTTATGTTGGCAACAACACACAGAATTTTGCCCTTGCCTTTCTTCCTGGATGTTTTTGGATTTCCTAGTAATCCATCTTACAGATCTGAATTTTTGGGGTGATCTCCTGTCAAAGTACTAAAAAGAACCAACCCTGTTTGGCCTTTTGAACTAAGCTAGATGCCCATATGTCAGCAACTTCTAAAAGCCTCTTTCCCCCCTTCAGGCAGGCTTTCAAACAAAGTTTGGGCACCCCTGATTCTAATTGAATAGAATAACAGAGTTGGAAGGGACCTTGGAGATCTTCTAGTCCAACCCCCTGCTCAGGCAGGAAACCCTATATACCCTTGGTGGCGAACCTGTGGCACGCTGTCTGTGGGCACGTGCGCCATCGCCCCAGTCCTAGGCCTTCAGCTGGGTTTTATAAAACCTTTTTGCTTTAGGCCTCCGTGGCCGTGTGCAAAAAAAAAAAAGGTTCAATCAATCAGTCAATTTCAAGTTCTCACGGAAAAAAAAAAGATCTGGCAAAGTTGGAATTGATTTATTGATCTTTTTAGTCCCACCCAGTCTGCTGTTACCACCACAGCCACGCCCACCCAATGGGCCACACCCACCCGGCACCTGACGATACATAAGTGGGTTTTGGGTTGCAGTTTGGGCACTCGGTCTCTAAAAGGTTCGCCATCACTGCTATATACCATTTCAGACAAAGGTTTGTCCAGTCTCTTCTTAAGAACAGCGTAGGAGCACCCACAACTTCTGGAGGCAAGCTGTTCCATTAATTGTTCTGACTGCCAAGAAATTTCTCCTTAGTTCTAGGTTGCTCCTCTCCTTAACTAGTTTCCATCCATTGCTTCTTGTCCTGCCCTCAGGTGCTTTGGGGAATAACTTGACTCCCTCTTCATTGTGGCAACCCCTGAGATATTGGAACAGTGTTCTCATTTCACACCATAATCCTTCTTTTCATTAAACTAGACATACCCAATTCTAGCAACCGTCCTTTACTGTATATGTTTTAGCCTCCAGTCACCTAATCATCTTTGTTGCTCTTCTCTGCACCCTAATGTAAAAAGTTTATGAGCTCAGTTGCAGTCTTGAAAACAAACATTTTGGGCTGACTCGGGGGGGGGGGGATGCAAAATCCTTCATTTTAAAAGGTGCAAAGCCCAGCCTGCATCTTGCATGTTGGTGGCTAGGAAAATCCTAGTCAGACACCTAGAGTAACTTTGCATAAAGGAGGAGGAGCCTGGAATGGATTTATTGCAAAAGGCGTGGGGAGGGGGGCGTGGACTCTTCCCCCCTTCGCCTCCTTGCCTTTTCTTGCTCACCCTTCTCTGGGCTGGCTGGACTTGTCCATTGCAAGCTCCCTTCTGCCTTCCCTTCTCCAGCCGAGCCCAATGTCCCCGCAACTTACCAGCTACGGGGACAGCTGCGCGTCTGAATGCTACTCTCCAGAATTGCTCAGCTTCCATAGAAAAGCAAAGCCGGGGTGGGGGTGAGTGGGGGGGGGGGAAAGGAGGAGGGTACAGCCGGAAATGGCTTTTCCTTGCCTCCCCCCCCCAATGCCTTTCTAGGACTCTTCGTTTACTCTCTTTAACCCTTGGAGGAGAGCTAGCAACAAAGAAACGGAGGAAGAAGGGGTCAGGTTGGACATGGTGGGGCGCGCGCAAGGTTTAAAGCAGCGATTTTGCCCCTTAGCTGACGAAGAAACTCCGCCCGCCACCCGCGCGCGCCACAAACAAACCCTAAATAAAAAAAACAAACCCTAAATGAAATTCTGTAGCCTGAAAATTCGGGAGCTGGAAAAGGGATTGTCAGTGGGTCGCGCTCTTTGGCATCTCTGCTGTATTTCTCGCACGAAAAAAGGGGAAGGGCTGAATTTGCGTATTGTACAATGCAATCTAGCGATTGGCAAGACGAGATGGAATAGGATAGGATAGGATAGGATAAGGATAAGGATAGAACAGGAATGGAATGGAGTGGAGTAGAGTAGAGTAGAATAGAATGATAGAAATAGGATAGAATAGAAATAGAATAGAAATAGAATACAACAGAATAGAATAAAACAACACAACAGAATAGAAATAGAATAGATAATAAAATGGAATAGAATAGAATTAGACTACAATAGAATAGAATAGAATAGAATAGAATAGAGAAAGGATAGAAGTAAGA